TGGTGTGGTGTGTGTGGTGTGTGTGGTGATGTGAAAGTCGGGTGCGTGCGTGCGGGTGCGCGCGCGCGCGCGTGGTGTGTGTGTCCCTCTGTGTCTCTCTCTAACTGCGTATCATAAAGGTATCTACAGAATCAGCTGTAAATTTCACGCGCTATCTTCTCTTTCTATACATCTACAGTGGTTCAAAACGAAGCGAAAATGGAACAACTTTCTCGACAACTTCAAGGTATGGGACAAGTCGATGAAGGAGGTCGAAGGAAACTTCGGCAGCGGCGTAATGTCTTACTTCGCCTTCGTGCGTTGGCTCCTCGTGCTCAACTTCCTCATCCTGCTACTGATGGTCATCTTCGTCACACTACCCAGCGTCTTCTTCGACAAGGCCGTTAACAGCGACGCAGCGGCGCCACCTGACGGTGAGTAAGAACGGTGACTGCACGTCACCGCCTGGCGGTGAGTATGTACGGGTGATTATCGCACACCAGGCAGAAATAGAATGCGATATGATACTGGACTACTAGCGGCCACTTAAAAAAAAACCTAACCCTAACCCTAACCCTACCCAAAAAAAAAAATTTAAATTAAATTAACTATTCTTTCTGCCAACACCGTGATATCAGTCGGGGCGGGGCCGTTCTGCGGTTGGTAAGTCTGTCGATGGCGGGGCGCCACCTGGCGGTGATCATATAGAGGTGTTCTGCGCACGGACATTGGCTGCAACTATGTGTCCTTTGCTAAATGAATATCACCAGCAATCCGTCCAGGACGAGCATAACTGTTTTTCGATATTCCACGAGTTAGATGTGCTCTACTGCTTGGTTGAGTTTCGTAGAAATAACAACACCTTCCGTGCCTCTTAATTATTATTTATTAATTATTTATTATATTATCGACATATCCGTCTACGCCAGATAACCACTCTCCCGTTGGATATTGTTACTAGAAGAGTCAGTCTGTACCAATCTATACGTGATTTTCACGGGTACATACTAAATATTGTCGACTTCGCTGCACTTTTACTACTAAGCAGCGTTTTTAGAACGTCCCTATCGCAATGCGGATTGGCTAGACCTACCAGCCAATCACTGCTGGCAACAGAATAAATAAGCGGGTAGGTAAATTGAAAGCTCTGTTGCAGATGGCGGGGATATCATCGAGCCTGTTGTGTGTAACATGACGGTACAGTGCTGTGCGGCGCAATATCTAGATGCATTGCATAGTCGGAGCTCGCTTTGGTACGACTACGTTCTGGACATTTTCCAGGGAACGGTAAGGTTGGTTAGTTAATGGGTAATCTATTGAATATTTAATAAAATAATTAAACAAAGAATTTAATTTAAATAATATATTTAATAATTTTTTTGTAATTATATAAAAAGTAATGTGACACCCTAGCATGTTCCACTATAACGTACTGTATCAGAGCGCGTTACATTAAAAGCGTTACAACTAAATATTTACCGTATATATGTAGTTCAGCTTTTAATGTAATTACTTTCTTTCATCCCTAGTATTACCATACGAACTATTGTTATTATCATGATTATTATTATTATTAATATTTATATTACTATTAAAAGATATAGGATATCGTTATTATTATGGTTATTATAATTATTCATTACGTGTAGTACTCCGCGTGACCGCGTTGACAGTACTAACTCTGTCATTTGCAGGGATGGATGGAATATACATGGTTTTTCATCGGCTACTACAACAACTCCGACTTGGACATCCAAGGCGTGTCATTCGATTACAGCGTACCGCTTGCCTACATCGTCGTGACGGGAATCTACGTCTTATGCAGTGCCATCCTCATGCTAAGCAGGTACAGGGACACGCGGTGGGCGCACACCTGAGGGGGGATGCTATACCGCGATTACGCTTCACACTGCACTGATATGTGAATTAAGGAGTGAGTGTCGAGCCACGATCGTCGAGTCTAGACATACTGTAACGACAGGGAAATATTATGCGAGAAACGGGGAAGAAATTCTAGTCATTTAAATTCCCATAGAGAGAAAAGGAGAGCGAGAGAGAGAGAGCGCGCGCGCGCGAGAGAGAGAGAGAGAGAGAGAGAGAGAGGGAGGGAGAGAGGGGGAGGGAGAGAAGAAGGCGTTTATCTTTTAAAGTATTAAAAACAGAGGACGAGAATTCGCAACGTGCGACTACAAACCCCCAGACGACTCCTTCAAAATTCGCAATTCAAATCGAGCCTCTTTACAGACATTTCGCATACCGCATTCTAGGTTTTCCGAACATTGGAAAGAGCGGCTGGTCGCGCAGGAGTCGATGAGCGTCAACCGCAACATGCAGTACGTGTTCAAGGTTTTCACCGGCTGGGACTTCACCCTGAGCAGCGCGAAGACGGCCGATCTCAACCATCTGAACATCTATCAACTTTTAATCGTAAGTGGTATCCGGAGAGTAGCGAGAATTAACACGCTGCTTCCTGTCGGGCGACGTAGGTAGCGACGATTAGATACAAATATGTAACCCGGCAGAGACAGTGGTAAACAGCATATACACGGTACATGCACGGGTAAAGACAGTGCCACATAGCAGAGACAGGGATAAAAGGCAGCGATATGGTTACAGAGTAAATACAGGGTCACGGGGTAGAGACAGGATCATAGGGTAGAGATAAACTCACGGAGTAATAGGGTCACAGGGCGGAGACATGCATGGTCACATAGCAGAGATATAGGGGCATAGGGTCGATACACAGGATAGAGACATGGCTACACGGAACAGACATGATTACATGGTCGCTACAGGGCAGAGATAGGGATACAGCGCCGGGAGCAGGATACAGAATAGAGACAAGGCTACACGACACAGACATGATTACATGGTCGATACAGGACAGCGATAGCTAGGGATACAGCGCCGGGACCAGGTTACAGAATAGAGACAAGGATACAGCGCCGGGACCAGGTTACATGGTCGATACAGGACAGAGATAGGGATACAGCGCCGGGACCAGGTTACAGAATAGAGACAGGGCTACACGACACAGACATGATTACATGGTCGATACAAGACAGAGATAGGTGTACAGCGCCGGGAGCCGGTTACAGAATAGAGACAGGGCTACACGACACAGACATGATTACATGGTCGATACAGGACAGAGATAGGGGTACAGCGCCGGGACCAGGTTACAGAATAGCGATAGGGTCACAAGTTAAATACATAGTGTCACATTGTAGAGACAGGGTTAAATATTTGTATGTCTGAACAGCGGTGACTAATTGGGAAGATAGATGGGTGCGTTGATACTTGTTGTTCTTTGTGATAATTTTAT